ATTTTGTATGCCAAACGATCCGCTATTTAACTTTCTACAGCTGTGCAAAATTTGTCGCGGCTACGCCCCGCCGTTCGGAAACCATTCTGGAAAAACCTTCGGGGGGGGTCGATTTGATCCCCCACCCGAGCGCGTGTTAAAGCATGGAGCTTTCACCTAAAAGGCTACGAGGAAGGACCAAACCATCAGCACGGTTACACGTGCGGGTAAAGTATTATTTGCTTGAAGTTTATCCCTCCAGCCACGGGTGAAGTACCGCACTTGTTTTGAGCTTGGGTGGAAACTTTTACGCATGGGTAGCGTCTTTTCCTGGAAGCTGTGTGCTGCAGCTGTCGAATTGCTTTAAAAGGAATGGCTCACGTTTGAAGATTTTAAAGCAAGCATCAGATATCACAAACTGAGCTCACTTATATCTACTGGATTACTTTTAAGTGGAAGACTGCGCTAGACAACACAATTTCTCTATGTACTAAATATCCTCCTCAATACGCCATTGTTCGATTGCGTCATCATGCCTTGCGCAACACTTACAATTAATTGACAGTCGTTTTTATTTGGAAATTGCGCTCACGAACGCCAAATATGAACAACTCGACAATTACACTTTCTTGGCCTTGATCGCCCAATGACCCATGGAATGCCATGAATTGAATGATATCATGGCGTCATGGATGCTTGGCTGACCTTCGAATGGCCTACAAAAAAAAGTCTGCACACCTTCGTGGGCGTGTAGCTCAGAAACTAGAGGGTTTTAGTCTGGGGTGTCGATTGGTATTCTGTTGTGAGGGCTTTGCCCACCCCCCATTGTTGAGTTGCCCCCCCTCCCCCCCCAATGTTGGCTTGGCCCCGCAATGTTTTCGGCGGAAATACTACAAAAAACGTGGATGAAAGTTGGCCATAACACAAAGACTACGTTCCTTGATCTTTCCGCGTAGTGGCGCCTCGTGCCACTTCCATAACAAAGTCATGATTGCCCTCACCATAAGGTACAAATCGTAACAGCTGAGCGGATAAGCGATACAATAAAGTTCACATACCTAGCGCCATAAGACACGCAATGGTCTGTGAGGTTAAAGTGAAAAGCTCTGGAATATGGGATGACCTAAGTCCTTCATGGCTAACCCCGTCCTGTCTCCCCACTCGCCTCCTACGAGTGCGTGCCGCCTCTCATGACTGCCATAGAAGAGCGCCATCGGCGCCCTAAGGTGGCCTCTAAAGAGGCGCCTTCACATGCCGATCAGAAGAGACGCGTGCGTCCAGTGCCTGCTCCCTGGATCTCATCTTGCATAACGTCTATACTGCCTAAACTAAAGAGCTTTATAAATTATACAAAGATTAAAAACATACATTGAGTTAAATAAAAAGGGGGCTACATTCGGTGATAAAAAAATGGGGGGGGGGGTAGGTGGTCGGGCCTTCGTTGCGGCCCTCCCAATAATTTACTAAAACTGGCAACCCTGGGTTTAGTTGGTGATTTCAGTCAAAACCCCACACGAATGTGGAACACTCCCTTTAAGGTGTGAGCTGGGGCTACAGCCAACTTAATGAGTAGAAAATTACACCCATGTCAGAGTTTGTGACTAATGTGAGTTTAGTTCAGAATGGTTTCTGCTCTTGTGTTTGTATTTCAGTATCCCAGAAGGTCAATGTAAATAGTTGCACCCAACTGTAGGTTTGACAGTTATCAAGTCATTGTGATGTGCGCCTGAATGTGCAACGTACCATAAGTTATGTGTTGACGAAATGCCACACTTTCTTTAGTTTGAGAACCTTATACTAGAATGTAGCTTCCCTGTCTTATCATGCGTGCAAACAACTAACTTCTTTTCCATTTACATTTATTATCAGCAATTGCTGGTTCATTGTGTACAAATTTGTGGCCAACAAAACACGAGTGAAGTAATGCTAGATGTGGAACACCCACAAATACCCACAATACTGTCAGCAATGCCTGGTAAAAGCCCTGCGTGCCTATCAAGGCGTGCCCTGCGGCCTTGCGGGCTCACAAGTACAGGCACTACACATGCATACGCATTAGTAAAAACTGTAAGCGCCGTCGTACATTAAATGTCATTTACAATACAGTCAATGCCACTACACTGTCGGACAGTTAACATATACCATGCATTATTTCTGGCCACAAACGTCAAACACCGGTGCCATCCTCCAAAAAACGTGCATCGCAACATACTGAACGCGACTCATTGGACGCCTGTGGCCGGACCCCGCCCGCAACTGCCAGCGTTGCCTTTACGGCGCGCTCTCCAGCCGGTGCTGCCACCTGGATCGCGCACAGGTCGGCCAACACCGCGTCCTGGTATTGGCGCCGCATGCTGGTGCCGCCATGGACGCCGTCTCCGCATTCAAAGTTCAAGTGCCAAACCTGGGCGGGGCTAAGCGTCTCGGGCGCGTCCCACAGCCGGGAGCATAGCCGGCGCACGAACACGGTGCTGACGGGCAGCAGTGACGACCAGATGGTCAGGGAGGGCACCTGGGGCACGGGCAGACGCGTCAGGGAGGACACCTGAGACACGGGCAGACACGTCAGGGAGGGCACCTGAGGCACGGGCAGACACCTGATGCACGGGCAGACGGTCAAGGAGGGCACCTGAGGCACGGGCAGACGCGTCAGGAGGGCACCTGAGGCGCGGGCAGACGCGTCAGGGAGGGCACCTGAGACACGGGCAGACACGTCAGGGAGGGCACCTGAGGCACGGGCAGACGCGTCAGGAGGGCACCTGAGGCACGGGCAGACGCGTCAGGAGGGCACCTGAGGCACGGGCAGACGCGTCAGGAGGGCACCTGAGGCGCGGGCAGACGCGTCAGGGAGGGCACCTGAGGCGCGGGCAGACGCGTCGGGGAGGGCGCCTGAGATACGGGCAGACACGCCAGGAGGGCACCTGAGGCACGGGCAGACACGTCAGGGAGGGCACCTGAGGCACGGGCAGACGGTCAGGAGGGCACCTGAGGCATGGGCAGACGGTCAGGGAGGGCACCTGAGGTACGGGCAGACGGTCAGGAGGGCACCTGAGGCATGGGCAGACGGTCAGGGAGGGCACCTGAGGCACGGGCAGACGGTCAGGAGGGCACCTGAGGCACGGGCAGACGGTCAGGGAGGGCACCTGAGGCACGGGCAGACGGTCAGGAGGGCACCTGAGGCACGGGCAGACGGTCAGGGAGGGCACCTGAGGCACGGGCAGACGGTCAGGAGGGCACCTGAGGCACGGGCAGACGGTCAGGAGGGCACCTGAGGCACGGGCAGACGCGTCAGGAGGGCACCTGAGGCACGGGCAGACGGTCAGGAGGGCACCTGAGGCACGGGCAGACGGTCAGGGAGGGCACCTGAGGCACGGGCAGACCGTCAGTCGGCACCAGGACAGGTAACTAGCACGCGACGCACTGGGGAGCTGTACACTTGAACCACACGACGTTCTGGGGAGCTCTGCACTCGAACCACACGACGCACTGGGGCGCTGTGCACTTGAAGAAGGGAGGCGAGGGAACCCACGCGGCACAGCACTCTGTACATTTCGCGACAGTTTACCCGGGCAGACTCTGTATATTTCCCTTGTGACATGTGCGAGCCCAACCCATGCTGTGCGTGAATCAAGTACAAGCAACTAACGAGTGAGATTTTGGTGGCTGGTTGAAACCCTGGCTCAGACATATAACGATGTGTCACTGCTAGTTAAGTTAGTCATTTCGTGCCATGAACATGCCTATGGCAGGGCGAGATGAGGACACCGAACTAGAGGAGTCTCAATTTACCTTCAAACATCTCAAACGCATCACAGTTGTCACGTCATCTTCGAAGTGGGTGAGTAATGTAAATGTGAGTTGTTCAGTGCGTTTGCGAGGAATATTATTCACATAGATAAGACAGTAGTCAGAGCATTATTCCTCGAAGAAAAGCCAGGAGAATGGAGATATAGTCGGGTATATCTCGGGCAGCTGAATTATATCTCCATTCGCCTGGCTTTTCTTCGAGGAACAAGTATATGACTACTGTCTTCTCTTGGCCAGGCTCCACCGCGTCAGTGAAAGTGCGATGTTATCTGCCCATATCGATCTCTTTTCAGGATCGAGAACACGGGCCCTGAGAGCAACACTGAGATCCGTGGTCCAGTCCCACGCACTACGTCTAGTCAACGCTCTCCAGTTTGCCGCCGCTACCTAGCCCCCCCCCCCCCCCCTCCCCCCCCCCCGTCTCGCACATTCCCACGCGGACGCGCCCGAGGCTCACCTCACCCACCGCGCTCACCTCACCCACCGCGCTCACCTGGGCTCTAAGCTCATACACGAGCGCGTGCAGCGTCGGCAGCACCGGCGTGCCCTGTGGGTTGCCGTCATACTTGGGTATGATATACCGCTCATCCAGGCGCCAGACGACCCGCGTGAGCCGCGACAGCCGCCGCAGCGCCGCCGTCGCCGTCGCCAGGTGGCGCCGGAACAGCAGCGCCGCCCGCGAGTCCAGCTCGGCGCGGCCGATCCGCGTGAAGTGCGTGTACCAGAGGCCGGCGTTCAGCAGGACCAGGTGCGGACACCGGGACGGACGGCGCTCGCACGTCGCCGCCGCATCCGCGAGCGTCCACACGGCGTACTCGTTCAGGAACGGCCGCCACACGAACTGCAGTGCGAGGAGCGGCGAGGAGGCGGCGAACGAGCACCAGCGGGGGTCGGTGGCGCACCAGCGCTGCGGAGGCAAGTGCTCGCCTGTCCCGAGCCCATTCGCCAAGCCTTCCTTGCGTGGCACGCGCACTGGTACGCCCAGCCGCTCGCCGAGGTCCTGGTAGAGCGTGCGCAGGCGCGAGTCGCCCACGAGGAGGACGAAGGTGCGCCGTCGCTGGCGCCTCTGGCGCCGGCGCAGGCACGTCTGGAGAGACGATGCGACAGGTCGCGGCGGCCGGCACAGCGGCAGATCGAAGGTGGTCGCCGTCAGCTCGCTGTCGTGCTGAAGTGCCGTCGTCAGCCGGTAGATGGCAGTGCAGCCGACATCAGCCGGTTCCGGCCCCGGTGATTCGTCGGACGCGGCGAGACCTGTCGTTGATTGGTCCGGCCTATCCGAGCCTGTGGGAGGTGACAGTGGTGATGACGGGGGCGGTGAGGGTGAAAGCCGCGTCGCAAACGCATCATGGGGGAAGCGCACGGTTGCAAACGCGTCACAATGCTTCCGGGCCGATGCGCGTGTGGACGTGAGTCATGGACGTAAGGTGATAATCGTTCTCAAGCATCTGCCCGGTGCGGTGGAACGAACGGTTGAAGGCCGGTGACGTTCTCAGGTTGTTGTTTTGACGTCATAATCTGTAGCGGCGCTCGGTAGCACAGTTCACCAATGTGGTCCCATGCATCTGTCTGCAGCCTGTAGTATCTCTCAATCTGTTTGAGTGTGTCTGTTCATTTACTGGTGCATACACAGCAATTTGCATCGACGTTTTAGCTCAACTGTGTACGATCCGTAGACTGAGGCTAAATCTCCTACTTTTCTGTCCAACATAAGACTATGCAAAGTTGTGCAACCGGCGCATGGAGCCAAACAACGTACATTGTACCGTCCGTTCACTAAATGTCTGTCAAGAAGACCCACGCTCAGTCCAGGCTCAGCCCACGGACAGCCCAAACAAGCAGCACCTTCAAAAATTCAAAAAAGCTCAAAATTTGATACGCGAAAGGTCTTCACGATATTCGACTTCGCCGTAAATGCAATTTTTCGGCTTCTATCATTATTTTCACAACTTCGCCTTTCAGTTGTGCCCATTCACCAACCCAGGCATATCATATACTATAAATTGTCGTCTTTGTCCGACAAAAAGTCAAAGGCCTTCCTGGGCTCGTTCAAGCAGCACAGACTTTGAGATACATCAGTGTTAAGCCAACATTTAACACGAGCCAACCGTTAGCCAACGCTCAGCCCATGTTCCGCCCACGCTCACCCCATGTTCAGCCCACGCTCAGCCCACGGTTGGCCCATGCTCAGCCCACGGCCGGCCCATGAAAGCGGCACCTTTAAAACACTCAAAATGTGATGTGCGGAGGGAACTCACGATGTGAACACATCAATGCGATCCAAAGCGATGGGAAACCAGTACTTCTGCTTTCATGGATAGTTTCACACGGTCGACATCCAATCAGTGAATTTTCACCAAATGAAACATAGCGTGTCTTTAAAACAACTGTCGTCTTCCTATACGCGTAACGACATCCCGAAAATTAAAAAAAAACTAAATTTGAGCCGCGTTAAATTTAAGCAATTTTCACTCCAACACCTCACTTTCCAGACATTCACATCGCAGCCAACGGGATGACCGTCGGTTCCTGTAATTTCGCTGATTTCATGACAAGCAATAGCTGGGCATGCAACGCATCGCCTCCCATGCTTAAGCCGGAGAAACTTGATCTCGCTTCGGAGATGATGGTGAAATCTCTTATCCAAACTGGGTCCTTCTGAAAACGAGTAGCTGCGCATCAAACGACCCCCCCCCCCCCCTCCCCCTTAACAGCTGATTCGAAAACCTGGTCTTTCTTTCCATTAGCTGTTCTCGTTTCGGAGTTGCAGATTGCGGGGCGGGCCACCCTGAAAGCTTACATCGCGGGGGGTGGGGCAGGCTACCCTGAACAGTCAAATTAGTATTGCTGGAGAGGGGCTCAGGACGTCATGAGCACAGTCAAATCAGTATTGCAGAGGGGGGGGGGGAGGCTCAGGTCACCATAAACAGTCAAATAAGTACTGCAGGGGGCGGGGGCGGCCTCAGGCCACCCTAAACACAGTCAAATCAGCGTTGCGGGGAGGGGTTTATGCCACCATAAACACAGTCAAATCAGTATTGCGGGCGGGCTCAGGCCACCCTAAACACAATCAAATTAGTGTTGTGGGGGAGGGGCTTATGTCACCATAAACACAGTCAAATCAGTATTGCAGGGGGGTCTCAAACCACCCTAAAAGTTTAAAAATGGCATCCCTGATCATTACGGTCAGAGAATACTGTACCACGAACCATTCTTGTTTTGGATTTGAGAAACATTTGACGCAAAGTTGATATTTTTGTCGTGAGATGTTCCAATCAGTAATCTGGTACCACAGAAAATAAGGAAGTCAGGGCTTAACTAGTTTATTTCGACTTCATCTCAAAACTTGAAAAACAAATATTACGGATTATTAATAGTGTTCATGCACCATAACGTCCTGATCAAACGTTTCTGCCTCTGCTTGAAGCCAGCAGACGTGGCACGCAGCCAGGCATAGACATATGAGCCGTCTTTGCCAGGTAGCCGTTCACGTATGTGGAAAAATGTAGGACAATGCAAAGTAAAACGTGGGGTGTAAGACATGACACATATGGGTCCGGACCTTCTGGCTCATCTTTAAAAAGCGCGGTAAAAGAGCGGAAATAGCCTAATTCCTGGTAGAAGAACCAGAAAAATGTAGATATAGATATGTTGATATTTCGGCAGCGTGCCTTAATCGAAACGAATAGCAACAGTGTCATCTATATCATACAATGACATTCATATTGATGTAGATGCTGACTACTGCAACTCCTTTCGATAAATGCATTTTGTTGAGTTATCAACGTATCTATATCTTCACTCTCCTGGTTTTTCTACGAGGAATACGGCTATTTATAACGTCTTATTTGTATGCATAATACTCCTCGCAAATGCACTAACCAACTTACGAGAAAAAATGGCATCTAATAAGTCCAAACAACGTTAAATTTACAGCCTGCTGACGTGGGTCCTTGACCGCCACCGCCACTGTATTTGCACTCACCGAGGTAGGCGGCAGCTGACGTCAGAAGGACTACCGCTGCTGCCACAATCAGACTCTGCCGAAGGCACCGCCGTTGACCAGCGCGGCAGCAGGTTTGGTGGCAGAACAACCCACCACCGTCGCCCAGCGTCATCTCCACGGCCTCAAATGTGCGCAGGATGTGTTACCACTGCCGACGAAATAAATGTGAGCACGTTGCCAAGGCTTTAGATCAAAACATGCTGAATGTTAACAAAATGCAAAAATGTATATGGACACCATGAAAGGGCAGACGTCATCAGAAATATCGTTTTTCAACTAAATGCGAACAAGGTTATGTCTAGCCGTCCCTATTAATGTCGCACTTGTTGCTGAGGTGCCCTTTCACACTTAGACGATCTGCAACGTTCTGACCTTATGATGAGTTGCATGGGAAGCGATGATGCGGCGATAGCGCTAGGATCAAAGCAGCGTGGTAGTTCGCAACATCACAGTTGAAGGCCAAATGAAGACGTGGCGGCATGCCAGTTTTGGACATTTGTTGGCATTGGTGGCCAGCTTATACGCATCCAAATTTTGTGCTCTTTCTCGCCAAAATGAAACAAAGGATTATATCTTGAGGATCAGCCTGTTGAAATTTTTGTTTGAAAATACCGGCGTGCACATGCGCAAGCAAAGGTCATGATGCAATCAGGCGGTTGCATAGCTTGCATTCTGCAATCATGTGAAAACGTGAGACGGCAAAGATCACAGCTTTCGGTTCCTAGTGTTCAAGTTTAACCTTGAAATAATTACTTCTGACCTTATCCGATTAATCAGGACCATCCAGCACAAAACTCTCAACTCATTCAGTTTCTAAATAAGTTCATTGGCATTCAGCATGATGACAGCTGGTGCCGTTCTCTCCAGCCACTATTTTTGTTAAACTCACGTACGATCAGACTGAAAATTCATCATTCTGATAGAAAGCTACCAAATTCTCGCGTGAAGGGCTTACAACTACAGAGAAATGTTCCAAACGGGGGTCACACAAGATGGCAAATATGTTGTTTTGTTGTGATACACCAAACTCATAACGGAGGTGCTGAAAACACGTACAAAATGGTGCGCCAAATGTTTTAAATAAAACCAAAGTTATGACACATACAAAGCGTTGCACCATAAAAGCAAACAACAAAATAGTTAGTTCGAGAACAGGCAAGTTAAGTATTTGTTATTTCTTGTTCTTGATCTCTGTTCAGCCCGAGGTGTTTATGCCTTCAGCTGTACATTCTTGGCCACAGCGATGAGAGAAAATGTCTTACGAAGGGAGGTGGAAAGCCAACAGATCAACAACGAATAGAGACTGGTGCAGGTAATAGGTGATAAGATTAGAGGCGACAGTTTTATATTGGTGATTCTAAGGTTTTGCCCTCCGCGTACGCCTCAGAGGAAAGGAGGCTAGTAACCAGAACCACAGCAGCGCAGCCCAAGGAATGACTGCGTGCCGTATGTGTGGACACCAACGGACCGGAGTTCTTATCTAAGTGGCATATGATTCCACCAAAAATTCGCCGACGGCCGGGAGTTTTTCACCAAATGGTAACATAATTTGCGGCCTGCGAATTCTAAATCTGGCTTCTGCCTGGATTAGGTATCTTAAAACATGGCTAGTTTGTGCACACAGTGCTTATTTGGGAGTAGGAACAGTAGTGGCGCAGCGCACGTGTTATCACGCGCTCGATATTTCCTTCTCTTGTAGTCTAGCGTGTGCTTGAGGCGGACAAGCAGCGGACTGCAAAACAGCTGACTGGCAGTCCAGGGGTGTTGGGTTCGAGCCCCAGGGCGGATGGTTTTTTTGGCCGACCGTTGAAGAAACGTCTGGAAAATCGGGCCGACCTGACCCGTGGGACCGCGTCGGGGTGCCCTGTGCGCGCAAAACCCACAGCAGTCCCGCCTGGTGAGAAGTTCGAAGGGCACATCATTCGACCAACTGCATCCAATTACTTCGAGTGCTGGCATCAGGGAACACAAGCTCCGCTCAGCGAGCGCCTTTAGCACAAAGCACTGATGCGGAGTGTTCGATGAAGATCTTTCTAAATCTGGGACGGATGGGTCAGGGGGAATTCAGAGGAACAGGAAAGAGGCACAACCACGAGGGAACGAACCGGTCTTGTCTGTGTACTGCTGCGACAGGTCCTTCTTAAGAAGTTTCTCTATGCACTTTGTGTCTGGCTTGCCAACGAGGGACAAGTCACCGGAAGCAAACGGTGACAACAATGGCGGAAAAGGCGTCACTGCTTTGGTTGGTGGGAACCTTGATCGTACCAAGCGTGCTGCGCGCAGCCGTGTCAGTACGCGATTACGACGATTACGATTGCCGAAATGTGCCGAAAATTGAACACTTCTTGTATGGTGCACGTTCGATGTCGTTGTTCAGAAAAAGACGATGCTCTTGCATTTACGCACAAAATATGTGGAAATGTTTTTGTTGTGATGTGCGCGACCGCAAAAAGCGCCCGCGTTTGGGCCCTACAAAAAGGAACAGCGTGAGGCTTCATGACATATATCGCAACTGGTAGGTAGTCCGACCGAATGGTGAAGCTTTGGAGACGATCGAAGCAGTGCGTTCTGAGTGAGCTATTTGCTGCCAGTATTTCTTGACTTTGTGAAATTTGATACATTTTGATCTGACCTAAGGTCACGAAGTTTTCACCTTTATTTTTCAGATAAAGTGCATTCAACGGGGAAGATTTCGCTGCGATCGGGTTAATTAGCTCGAGACCTCACTTATCTGGAAGCTAAAATGTTTGGAATTAGAAAAATCTGATGACTTTTCAATTGAATTACGGTCACCAACTCTCCAAACGCAACAAGGAATCATGCACGATGCATCCAATGGAGAGGCTTTCGCAGCGATCGGTTCGGTAGGTTCTAGGAACGAATTGTCGGCAAGCATGAATTTTGGAATTTGCGAAAATTGATTTACTTTTGACCTGGCCTAACGTCGCCGAATTGAAGCCAGCAAGAGTGAATAAGGTATGGTGCATCATATGTTGAAGATTTCATAGCGATAGCTTCGGTAGTTCCTGAGAATCGAGTTATATGCAAGCAAAAATTTTGGAATTCGAGAAATTTGATGACATTTGACCTAACCTAACATCGTCAATTTTTTTTACTAAAACAGGGAATCATGTATGAGGCATCAAATGTTGAAGGTTTCGCAGCGATCGGTACGGTAAGTTTTGAGAGCTGAGTGGGCTGCTTCGGATATTTGAATTTTCCCTTCGCATTTCCTCCAGTGTCTGACCACATATTCGGTCCCGATATTGCCACGCTATGCTTCACCTCTTTGCACTGAATCCATTGCTGAAGGTTTTAAGGCGATCCGACACGCCGTTCCGGAGGACAAGCGTGCGTGCACCACATGCCAGTTTTTTAGACGCTGTCAATAATAAGTCGACTCCTGCTACGGTGCTACGCAAATAATAACGTAAGCTGTGAGAAGAACCGCGGACATGAACGGCAGGCGCCAAAAGCAAGAAACGGGTTACGTGGTAATTCATGCCAGCACATGCACGATTATGAACGATGACGGTTGCAAGATCCCCGCTAGTTCTAGTGTCTCTCTTACCTGCAGGTCCATAATGGAGCGTCAATGCGCAGGCGCCACATCAACTTGCATTGCACTGCAGCGGAGACTCTCGGGAGGAACGACCTGCCCTCGGGGACTCTGGTACCTTGAACAGATTTCACGCCGGGTACGTCAATATTATAAACAAAAAATAACATCACTGTCTGCGGGAAAGTACGCTACCCGAAAAAAGAACGGCACTGCCTCCATTATTAAAAAAAGGCGCGACGGCGAAATCTGTATTTTCATGCTGCGTTTTTTTTCTTCCGAGATATTTTTTGCAGACAGCTAGGGTGGCGCTTTGTGCACCGGAGCGCGGAGCCTTTGACAGGTGTGCAGGGGTGGCAGGGTAGAATAAAATTTGCGGAACATTATGTCAATGATATATAAGCAGGTACTTATTTTATAGGATATCTGACACACATGCATAGAACGCTTAATTTGTTAAAACAGTTTCTGTCTTCTTAAGCAAAACATCTTGAGGTGCATTACCATGAACCCCGGCTGTAAATGCGCGTTGGGGGAACCTCTCGGTGGATTATTGTTATAACCGAAAATTGATGTAGGAATTGAGGCATCTCGCAATTTAGTTGTCCCGTGGGTTGTGCAAATGTGGGATCACATCTATGTGTATGTGTGTGTGTGTGAATCAGGTACTTGAAATTTGTGTGACCACTGGTAGTGCGTGCCAGCGGCCTTGGACTTCTGTTGATGTTATTGGTAGTTTGAGTGGTAGATGTGTTCTGCTGGAGAAAGCATTGTTTGATTTAAGTCTTTGGGCATGATTATTTCTAATAAGTTGTGATTTGTTGATCTTTGTCTCTTTCTCATGTTTGCATTTGAACATGACTAGTCAAGGTGATGCCAGTAAGCCATAAAAACACTGGTGTTTCCTTTGCAATATGAGGTGAAGGAATGCAACAAAGTGCTTTGTTGCATTCCTTCCAACATATCAACAACTTATCCTCCTTCCAACATATTTAACCTGTACAGGCATGACTGCATGTAACTAATTCATTGCACACCATTTCTTTAACAGTTCATTTGAGCAACAGGGATAGGCCAATATGGATTGCAAAGGTCACTTGCTGAGAAGCCTGCCTGACATGGTGTTACAAACTTGTCTATATCTTAAGCATGCCAGAAATATGGTGCTGTTTGAGTGTGAATGCATGTGCTGCTGTCTTAAATTTTGTGTGTAGGTCAGCATGGTGAGTTGCTGAAGTTACATGTTCAGGGTTACTGGATTGAAAAATATCAAATAGCTCAGTCTGTATGCTGCCTTGAAAGGTTGATAAAAGCCTTGATGTTTCTAATCATCTCTTTTTCTCTGCCTTTGCGTATTCTGTTCTGAGCCAGGTAGATTCTGAGCCGCTCAAGACTGTGTGAGATGCTGGAAGGGATGTGAAAGTACTGTCAATTTTTAGGAGGGCACTTAAAAACACTTATTTTAAGCCTTGTGTACACTGGCAGCTTTATCACTTCCTTGCACTTCACTCAACTAGCCATAACTACGTGAGGTTCTCATACCTCTGTAGCCTTGTGCAAGGTCAGCAGTTTTGCAACACATTTTCACAGTAGGTGCATAATGTGCTCTTGTGTTAGTGCATGAGCTATCACTTGTGTGAGCAATATATGTGATTGAAGTAGCCCTGTGGTTGCGGCACTTTGGATGTCTATGAGAGAATTGCATGCATTAAGCAACCTATTTTTGTTTTTGTGTGCACTGTTGTAAGCTGGGAATGTTATAAACAATGTGGTCACTCTGGCTATGCCATTTATTTTATGAGTTATCACTTTTGGATTATGCAACTCAACTGGTAAATATCTTGTATGGTATGCCAGTTCTTCACAATATGGTAGACAGTTTCCTGTTGCAGGGCATGTTGTTACCTTCATGTGGTAATGTAGACACCATTCAGATTGAAAATGCTGTTGGTCATGACCTTAACCTACCATTTCATCAGTTTTGTGTTGCTTTTTTGGACAGTGATGGCCAATACTGACTCACCCATATTGGTCAACAGGTGCAGTGTTGGCATTGGGGGTTTGGGATTCTCTTAACACTAAGTACAGATGTTCTGCTTACACTGGTACTTTTCTGTGATACCCAAACCAAGCACACACATGCCCAAGCACTGTACATAGAAAGGCAGGTACATTATCAACGTCCTCCCCTGAATGGAACATGAGAGCGTGCTGAGGCGCAAGGGCCTCCATAGGTGAAACATGATTTGGATAATGTTGGTGTATTCACGGTCTCATTTTCCAACTCAGGCGACCGAAATCTTGCTCGCGATGTATGAGTGTCAAGCAGTATTCGAACAAGAGCCGTGGGGATGAGGATGGGGGGCGTATTTAATTGACGTAATATTTGTCGTCTCTCCGACTGCGGCGCAGTGCCGCGCGACAAAGTATTTCATGTAGTTTTATGATGGTCGAATGGTTTAGTTGTGTTTTTTTCGTAACGTATTTTCCTTGTCGTATCTTTTTCACAGACGGCTTATGGGTTTCGTTTATGTAAATGTGACGAAAAAAGAACGTCGCTGGCATGATTCTTGCAATATTGGCTACCGCTTAGTTCGCAAGGCCGATGTTTTCCCCGCCGTACAGCCAACCCCATCACATCTTGAACTGAAGCGCTGCAGTTGAACATGATACGCTCAAAATGTTCATAACAAAGTAGAAAGCTCGATTTTCTTCGAAAGGGGGGCTTAGCAGACCATGAAGGTGGACCATCGGTTACGTCAGTCTCCTGCATCATGCAAACACGTGCACAGGCACTGGGATGACAACAGCCCGCTTGGGCCAATCCCACCCGCGGGTGCGCCTCTGGGGGCGTTTCCCGGCACGAGAAGGTCTGGGAAGATGTAAGCGGCGACGAATCTGAGAGCCAGTGTTGACTGGGATGGCTGCTTTGGGCAGTGCGCAAAGAATGCGGTTTGTGCATCTTCGTTGCGTTATGCCCTGCACCCCCAGGATGATGGGTCTGACTCCGCCTCTGTAAGGGCTGCCCGCGTACGGGTCTTCAGCACGTTCGCCTCTCGAAAGTCGCGACCATCCAGCAGTGTGACCCGGTAAACACACCAGCACCATGTGGGGGGCGCGTCTGTGTTAGTCTGTGCGGGTACATTTTGTGGTGGTGGGGACGTGAACGGTGAAAACATCGGAGATTCGTGCTTTCAGACGCGGCATTTCGATTTGTCTCTTCTGATTTCGAGTGGAAATGGGATGAAAGCTGCAATGTACCTAGTGGGGCTCGGGACGAGGGAGGTCATGCTAGACATGAGTGTTACCATGCCCCTACGCTCCGGATGATAGTGCAATGCCCTTGCCGCAAAGGCTCAGTACTTTTTGGAAGTTTAAAACGCCCGAAGGGCCTCTGAAGTATAAGAACGGACCCGAATCATTAGAATAGGACCGTAACCTGAAATGTCCCCCGGATTAACAAAAAAACGGGCCGATATTGCAACGAAGAGAGCGGAGGCCCTCTTCATTGGCCCCTGTGAACCGAACAGGGGCCAACCGAACCCGAACAGTTTCCCCTGTGAATGGAACAGGCCCCTGTGACCCGATCTGACCTCCTCCTGGGCTAAATGCAGCCCGCGCGGCAGGCCTGAGCCTGGACCGCTTTTGCACATCAATGTATTATGATATTGCTGCTGCGGCTGGCCGCCCGGTTGTCTGGGCATTTATGGCGCCCCTGTCTGTGTTCCGCCGACCGATCGGGGGTCGAGGACTTTGGCGACACCCCCGCTTTGCTGGCAGCCGGGTCGCGTGACCAAGCCCCGGCCTGGCTCCGCGGGCGACCGGTCACTTGCGATTGGTGATTGGAAGTGATTGGGTGATTGGATTGGGTGATTTGGTGATTGGAGGGCGGCTGGACCCCAGTGTGACTGCGCCTCTTCGAAGCCAGCCTTCGTCCTGCAGTGTGTTGGAACGTTCTTAGGGGCATTGCGTGGTGTTTTAGTAAGAGCTGTTTTACTTTCCATTTTTTGTCCGCGGTCGCTTTCATTTATGTTTCGATTTGGTGCAGGAATGTTGATCTTTCGCAGACGAATACAGTGAAAGTGTGGGGTATGTTAATGCCGTTTGGCTGCGCCGTCTTCATTGCTGGCGTTCCTTCTTCAGAGCTGCCATTCAAGCGTAAAGGTATAGTCACCAGTTATATCAGCGTGATGCGTCAATAAATTGCTAGCGTTCTTGCTGGGTGGCCGCGTGGTGCCGCCAGCTGCTTGTCGCGTGGTGACGCCGCCGGCGCGCCTCGAGGTGGTGCCGTATGATGGCTGTGTGGCTTGAGGCTCGTGGTGGCGTCGCGTGCTTGCCCATTATTGAAGTGCATTCTCTGATATCTGTACCATCGTAATCCGTACATCTCGGATTTACATTTACATTTATTACCGTACATTAATATCATTCTGTACGCGGATGTGTGCCCGTGTACGGTATCTCGACTAGGCTTGCTTTTTACTACCACATGTACAAGTTTGTTTAATTAACATGTGTGTTCACTATTTGTTGAAACCATACCAATACATTGCAAACGCTCCGCAACATTTTATTGAGAAACGTGTGACGACCTGAACAGCCCAAGAACATTCCACATGTATTTACGTCATCAACTCGTTCAGTTATTGGAAAGAATTGGCGCATTAGTGAGGCAGAAATGGCTCACAGCAATTTGTTTCAGCTTTTGGTTGTACTTGTGGCACACCAAGAACGTTTAGTGCTACGTTACGCCGCGTAGAGTCTTCCGGGCGTGCTCGCAGCGCCGCTCTTTTTTATTGATCTGTATTTCCGATCTGATTTGATCTGTTCTGTGATCTGATGATCTGTATTTGAGCGGTCCCGACCCGACTCCGGGCTATCACGGCCCATCGCCAGCAGATACATGGGCGGCTAGTCGGTCATGACGTGACCGTGGGTCATGAGAACGAAAACAGTCATCTAAAAACAAACACACGGAGATGGATATCAGTCACGACTTCGCCGCGTGAGAGGGTGGTGGCATAGCGTTCAAACGCTTTGGGAAAAGACCATCGCGAGAGATCGAAGA